CTTCCATGGCTTCTTCATAGCTCTTACCCTTGAAGCTGTAATTAACTATGGGAGGTATAGGAAAGATGGCAAGCTGTAAGAAGGACCAAAAATTGATGTGTAATAAGAGCCAATATGTTCTGCTTGCCGAGCACCTTTAGGTGCCAAGCCTTAAACTATTTCCTTTTCAAATCTGCAAAGTAAATAGTATAATTTCTACTTTTCAGATGAGAAAACTTAGAGACATCCAACACCTGTCCAAGGCTGTAGAGCTAGGTAGAGACTAGGGATCTTGGACGCCTTTGAGTCTGATGTGAACATCTATGCTCTTTCCATTCCATCTTACTACAACAGCTCCTCGAGGAATATGCTAATCATAGCCAGCAATACACGGCCAGTTAGAAGAGGGCTTCTAGCACACTTTTAACATTCAGGGTAATGCACAGAATTCTCAATTTGTTGGTTTGTTAATTTTTTTGAGGTAGGTTCTCATGTAATTCAGGCCAGCCTGAAACTTGCTGTGTAGCTTGAGGATGACCTTCAATTCCTGACCCTCCTGCCTCAACCTTCCAAGTGCTAGGATTATAGGCATGGCCCACCATGCCAGGATTTAGTGTCCTTTCTACCAGGAGAGAGCATAAGTGCTGGTACCATTTTAACTAGTATCTCATTTAGACTTTCTGCTGCAGAATTCTAGTTATAAATCACAACATCTATCTTAGAGTTTAAAAAGAAAATCAAATACTTGAAGCATTTTTAGTCTCTAATGAGAAAGGACAGCTAATGTAGGGTTAGTTGTTTTGTGTGTAAATGAAGGTGTGGATTCTATAAAAGTGAAATGCCAAAAGCCCAAATTAAAAAGTAGATACTAGGAATAGGATCCAGGCATAAAAAGGAAAAGCTACAGACTGGGTGATGGAGGAAGAGAATAGGGAAAGTATTCCAAGGTGATGGAATTGAATAAAATTAAATACTGTATAAATTTCTTTTAGTTTTCTGTGTTCTGTACAGGAAAAGGCAGTTCTAGAGTGAGATCAGGACACATCCAACACCTCATGGTTTATATTTGTAGTGTGTGTGTGTGTGTGTGTGTGTGTGTGTGTGTGTGTGTGTGTGCGTGTGTGTGCGTGTGTGTGCGTGCGCGCGCGCAGCTTTTATCTACTCCCACCTCCATGAGAAAGTGTAGTCAGGACCAGGACAGATCCGGGGTTCCCTTGGCTTTGTGTTTTCCCAGGATCTTTCTTTCTCCCACTACCTCACTGGGACATTGAAAGCCTGGCCTTCTGTATAATCTCAGGCTTTTTTAAAAAGGAAAAGTGACTCAGCCTGTACAGTGGGCCAAGGGAGGATGGATGGAGGTCTAATGTAGAAAGAATGGGCTAAAAAGAATTCCATCACCCTGGGCTCTTTTCCTAGATGATCTTCACCAACTAGCAAGAGCTGGAATCACCTGTAACACTCTAGTGAGCGACTGCTTTTTCTTAGTGATTCTTTGCAAACTGAGTCCATAAAGCATTTTTTCCTACTTCTGAACACGTGGTAAAAAATTTAAAACTGTTTTTATTGTTAAGCTATGTTAAATACTTTTTTGAGATTTTTATGTGATTTGAGTGTTGAAAAAGAAAAATTTAATGTTTTTCATTTGGATTTCATCCAAGGTTCTATCATTTTCCTCCTTTTAAAGATGCTTTCTTTTAAAACATGGAAGCTGCTTCCACAGGAGTAGCTTCCTAATGCACAGACAGTAAGAAAGAAGATCATCCTTCCATTGTAAGCATCTCTAAAGCAAATATAATTTCTTCCTTGATTTCTCTTTTCTCTGTCTTCCCCTGATCCATGCTCTGGTAACTGTGTACATGGGGCACTTTGAACACTATAGAAATGCATGGGAAATGCTGTGTTGGTTTTGAGTGCTGTATTTTAAGAGTGCCAGTTAATTGGGGTATGAGAAGAGAATGATGTTTACTTTTGAAAAATATGCACAAAGTGCATCTTATTACCAATGCTTGAAGCAATTGGTGATGTTGAAAGACTACCATGGTGTTGAAAGATGCTTGAAGCAATACAGTCACTCTAACATCAATGATCAGACATTACAAAACAGAATATCTCTCCTCAGCAGGTTGACATTATCCCACTGGATCATATTTAGCAATGAAATCATCTGAATCCCATCCATGTGAGCAGAACCCACCGAAGGCAGTGAATGCTCTCTGAGTGCTGGGGTTAAAGGCATGTGCCACCAATGCTGGCTCATGAATGCTCTCTGAAAATGCAGGCATATGAGAAGGTCCAGAGGGAAAGAGTGGGTTCCCATGACAGCACAACAGTATAGCAGAAGGAAGGAAAGTCCTCTCTGGGGAAGCGCTAAAGGGCATATTTACCAAACATAAAATTCTAGAAGCATCCCACTTCATAATTCTGGGAGTATTTTCTCAAGTCAGCTAGTTTCTGGCAATGGTCCTATAGTGCTTTTATTAACACAAATGATTACACTGCTGAATAATTTGGCATGGTCTTGGGTCCATTTACTTTCATTGGTAGTAAAAGTTTAGCCACTGAGTCCTTACTCTGCTGAAGTCATGTTCTAAGCTCCAGATGTAAAGCAGTGAACAGAAAGGAAGCATCCGTTCTTCAGGAGCTTGCATTCTATTGACTACCCAAAAGTTGCAATAATTGTATCAAGAATTTATATGGGCTCTAATCAAAAGTAATCCCCCCTTTACATGTAGTAGTTGACTATCAAGTTTATCTCAGTTCATTTCCTGAAAGAGTTATCTTCACAAAAGCACATTTAATAATCCTAAACATCAATTATATGTCACATGATCTTTGTACACATTATATAAATTTTAGAAACTGAATGGGAAGATTTTTTCTAGAAATTTTCCTATATTTTTGTTTGGAAATAAAAAAAATCTCCCGCTTCATGCATTGAAGTACATGGAATGGTTCTTATTCTGGAAGATGAGCCTGTTGTTGCCATGTGGAATACTAAATAATTATATATATATGTGTATTGGTGTCCATTTGAGTCATAAATATCAAAAATCTAGTAAAATACACACCCTAAAATATTTTTTTAAATTTTTGATAGTTTTCTGAGGGTATCATACAGTGTGTTTTGATCATATTTACCCTCCCTCCCCAACTCTTCCCAGATCCATATGGACATTCACCCAACTTCATATTCTGAAAAAAAGCAAAACCCTTCAAAACTAGTTTCTGCTTCCCAGTGTTTTCTTCTGAAAAAAAGCAAAACCCTTCAAAACTAGTTTCTGCTTCCCAGTGTTTTCTTCCCCTGGAGAGGGGCTGACTTGCCAGGAGCTGTACTCCTAGAGCAAACCAGCTCTCCCTCTCCCAGCAGCCAACAGTTGCCAATACTCCACAGCCAGGAGTGGGATTTCATGCCCAACTCCCTTTTCCTTGCTGATAGATTTGGTCTATCCTGTGCTTATACACATTTTGTGAATGCTGTTGCAACCACTGTGAATTCATACATGCAGTGGAACACGCTGTTTACAGAACACAGTATTTCCTTGTGGTCATCCACTGAAATGGTACAGTAATCCCATAAAATCATCTCACATTTTAGAACAGCGATGTTAGAGGTGATGGCATTTATAGGACTCTTTTTACATAAGAAAACAGAGAAGCGAAGTCACCAGACCCAGAGCCCAAGTTCTGTGGCTCCCAGGCGGTGTTCACTCTACTTCTTGAATCGGCCCAGGCCCTGGACTGATATTTACTAGGAAGGCCTTGGGTAGCACTGCCTTTTACATTAGTGTCCTTATGACCCTCCCCCTAACTCTCCTGGTCTATGAAATGCATCTCTGAGCAGATGACTGAAATTCCCACTTATGCTACTGTTCAACTAAATCTTCGTAGACAGATGGTGTTATGATTTAGTCAATAATTAGTAAACTTTCTGAGCATCACTTGCATGGACAGAGCAATACGTATTTGCCCACATCCTGAGCACTGTGTTAGTTTTGCAGTTCTCAAAACCTATTGTCCCCGTTTTGCAGAGGAAGAAAATAAGAGACACGATATGGAAGCCATAGAAAGGTTACACAGCTCCTTAGCATTGAGGTCAGGGAGGAATTCTGCTCTTAATCCCACCTGATTTAAGGTGGCCATAGTCAGGTAACAGGAGCCACAGACCCAGAGAACCTAGACGATCTGCCCAGGAGAGCCCTGGTGAAGAGGTGAGTGCCTCACAACTTATGTCTCAAATCCTATTGTTTTCCAATGTAAATATGCATAGAATGGTTTCCTCAGTCACTCCAAGTTCTTCCGACATTTGTCTTACAATTAAAAATAGTTTATTCAAACAGGTAGGTAGTGTTAAAAGTCAAGCAAACAGGCATGTTAAAACTTCCTTTGACAAAACTGGTCTTCACCTTCATTTGCAAACACTTGACTTTCTGAACAACAGCAAATGGTAAGCCGACTCCTTTTAACACTTGTTGGAAGCAGCGTTTTTTTCATCATAAGGGATTTTTGGGGTTCTGTGCTACAGATACGTTTTCACCTGCCTGTTATGCTTGTTGTACTGTAGCATCAAGTGAGATTTGTGAAAAGACTGTCCCTGATGATAAATGGTGATCCACTCTTTGTGATTAAGACAGACAGACAGACCAAGCTATTCTGACAACACAGTGAAGCTCATTTAACTGAAAAATGAACAAACAAAACAACAACAACAAAAATCTCAAAGCTTTATTTTGTCTAATTTAACTATAATTTCAATGAGGGAGGAAAACGAAAATGTCCTCGACAGTGTTCTGATACCAAGTTTTCCTTTACAGAATTAAACAAAGCGAAAATCTTGGCAGTGATTGTCGGGGGTCAGTTGTGCTTCCAGCAAGATGCTCACCAAGTTCTCAGGGCGGTTTTCCAGCTAACCTCCCTGCTCTGAAGCGTGCAGACGTGTGGGTTTGGAGGGGGCTTGTGGTGACAGTCCACCTAAGGAAATTCAGAACTGACTCCCGTCTCCGTTTCCTTTTCCTCCCCTGCAGCTCTTCCTCTTTGTCGTCTGGAACTTTGAGCTCTACATGATACCACTGTTGTTATTGCTACTACTGACCTGGAACTACTTCCTAATAGTATCAGGGAAAGATAACAGGCAACGTGATACAGTAAGTCTCTGCGTTCTTTGTGTGTTTTTGTTGTTTCGCATCCCGCTGATGAGATAACACTGAATTCAGTTTTATAAACCAGAAACCCTGCCTACAAATATTCGTGTTTGGAGGAAGGTTTTGTAAGCTCAAACCTAACAACTTTGGTTCTCAACACAATACAAAGTATCCGCCTGTTTCTGGAATGATTCAGTTTGATAGAAACTAAAGTGGGGCGTGTACAGACTGAGCTACAGTTTAAAATCATTCATAGCTGTTATCCAAACCCTTACTCCCTTCAGTCTCCTGGTCATTTTATGTCACAATGGATCCTGAACTAATAGATAATGCCACAGACTTGTTAATGATCAGACCAAGTTAATGTATTCTACTTAAGACGGTTCTCTGTGTAAACTGTCATTGAAGGAAGAGTTGATGGTTCTTAGTCTGGAAAGTGTGTTAGAGTACCTTCATTCAGTGAATCGGCACTAACAACAAGTGTGTGTTTATGAGTCAGGTATCTTACGATACCGACTTGAGGATGAAGACCGCTCATTTAATCCAGGGAATGTTCAGCTAAATCTGTACTCCCCTTTGACATTTCTGAAAGTTCTTAGAATGTGTGAGGCAAGGAGCAGCAGCTCAGCTGGCAAGAGCCTGTGCTTTGCCCGGGGGTCAGGTCTGGCCCTCCTGGGTTGTATCAGTCACTGTAGTCCTAGCAAACACACCAGAGATTAGTCCACACGTGATTGAAGGGTTACAGCATCTCCTCCAAGCTCAACATTTGTAACTGTGTAACCTGATGGGCAACCGCTGAAAAGAATTTAAAAGTAGATGAGGATATACTCTGTAGTTATATGCCATTATATTATCAAAGTTTTGAGTATTTTATAGACTCATTTGATTTATAATTGGGAAGTTTTTAGTTATTCTTGATACAGGGTCTAATAATCAGGAATATTTGCCATTATTATGTATGTCCATAACAAATAACACAATTATTTGATTATCAGTTCAAAATACTATAGTATTATACAACACTTCATTGCAATAATGGATATCAAATGAACTCACTGTCTTACTTGTGGCAAAACAAACAAACAAAAAAACAGTTCCTTTGAAACAAATGTGCATTTCAAATGGCAACATAAACAAATTATACTTCTTCAAAATAATTTTCCTTATCTTTAAGATAAATGATAAATACTAATATACAACCACCAAGTACATGATGGAGTTGTTTACTTTCTAATGTGTTGCTGTCTCTTTTACTAAATTAGACTAAGGTTGAAGAAACAAGCTCTTGGCTGATCTTTGCATTTGTGACAGTTTTTCACATATACTTTATAGATTAGACGTGTTCCAAGTGTTTGAATATTGTATCCGTGTTGACTGTGCAAATGTATACTCTATGCCTGTGTATCTGGGGACCAGAGGAGGCTGTCAGTTGTCTTGCTCTATTGCTCTTGCCTATTGCCTTGAGACATGGTCTATCATTACTTCTGCTAGAGTTTCTGGAAGGGAGGGGTCCTTAGTATCGACGTGTCTCCATACACCCCCCCCCTCAAGTCCTGTGGTTCCAGGCACATACCGCCATGTCCTGACTTTGTGTAGGTGCTGGAGATTCAGAATCAGATCCCCATGCTTAAAGAGCAAATGTTCTTCCCACCTGAGCCATTTCCTTGGGCCCTAAAACATTTTATTTTATAAACTCTATCAAGCCAAATACAAGATTGCTGATAAAAGCTTTAATGGTTAAGCAGTATCAATAGACAAGAAGTTATTTTTATTGCTAAGGATATATATTTAAATTGCATGCTAAGAGACAGGCCCAAAATGCTATAAGAATTGATGTCTTGGGGACTAATAGGTAATTTTTTCTTCAATTAATCCAGGATTTTTTCTCTAAGAAAATAGGGCTGTCTCAGACAATTACATTTTTGTCCTGTTTATCTCAGGGAGATGGTTGAAAGAGAAGACTATCTACTTTTCATTCAGCTGTCTTGAGGCATATTTGCAAACAAAATTATTTGCAAATAAGAAAGGTAGTCATTTACTTTAGTTTCTAAGTCCTATGGGATTCATTTTGAAAAGTTAGGCATTGATTTGAGAATTCTTAGTTAAAAAAATTCTTAAATTGTAAACTCCATTATTTTTCCTAGAACATACCTGCCTTGTGTAGAAAGTCCACTGTTAGGAGGAAATTTGTAATATATAGTTTATCTTTGGTACTTAAAATTCTCTGAAACTTTAAGCATATAGAACAATTACATAATATATAACTTAAATTGCATAATATACTTTTTAAACCGCCCTGTATCTTTTACAACATACAACACTAAAACAGAGTTTTCCAGATCTTCCTTTCAAGCACATCTGTTCTTACAGTTTCTCTCTTTTAGCCCTGGACAACATTTTATCCCCCAGCACAGCCCCCCACCAGACATTCTATAGCTTAACCCATTTGAAATGTCAACTGCACTCCATAACGCCCAGTAATTGCCTTTTATTTGCCCAACGCACACATATCCACATATTCTTTTCTTCCCAGGGACTGGAGCAGCAATCACAACGTTTCTTTCAACTTCTCATTCACTGGCTCAGTTGAGACCTTACGTAACTCTTAAATCCAATTTGTCTAATTATGTGTTTTCTGGCATACCCAGCTGTGCATTTTAACTGCTTTCTCCTTTTGAAAGAAGACCTTGATTATACTTTGCTGGTTACAGATTTTCTGTCTGTGTGTCTGTGTGTGTCCATGTGTGTCCTTGTGTGAGTGTGTGTGTGTGTGTGTGTGTGTGTGTGTGTGTGTGTGTGCTTGCATGCACAAGAGTGCACATGGGTGTGCATGTGTACATGTATGGGTATGCATGTGTGTCTGAGTATCTACAAAACTTGGTTGAAGCTTTTAGCATGTATAAAAAGTACACAAGACCTCTGGGGTGAATTAATTACACTGTTGACTGACCTCAAACCAGGAAACTTCCTGAAGAGGAGGCGGGAAGAGAGAGAGAGAAAGCTGGGGGCTGTTTCTGCTATAAAGGCGAAATCTTAGAAAATTTAATTAGGGTGAAGACCAAAAGAAAAACAAATCAAAATGACTTTTAGATCTACATAGAAAAGAGACAAAAGTTAGTAATAATGTCATAACACATGAAGTACATAGATGGGTGAAAATTCTCTCTTCAACATATTGACTGATAGTTGAGATTAATACCCAGCGGGAAAGGGCTTCCTCATGTGTTGATTATTTATTAAGCCTCTCAGCCCGAGACTCTCCAGCACTAAGCCCCTCCCTCTTTTCCATCTAGTTCTTCTAGTTTCAACAGAAAAGGGAGACCTGATACATTTAGTAAGCCGACCCTGTTAAGGACTGGATGAACAGACAGCTATTTCTGGGGTGAATCTGTAGCCCCGAGGGAACCCACAGGCAGAGGTGTGTTAGAAATGCCGTTCTCCCTGTGCTATTTCCTAGTCAGAATTGTGAAAAATAAGAAACGCTGGGTCTCAGTCCAGCTAGTCTGGGGCCATGATGTGAAAATTTGCAGTACAAGCGTTGTTTGGCCTTTCCAGAGGAGCCTGTTTAATACATACATCATTCAGAAATGTCCCTGGCATGAAAGGGATATAAAGACAGAAATGCCACCCTTTCTCAGTTTGAGCTGTCCCTCTAAAAGCTGACGAAAATTCCTCCCGCACTGCCTATTGTACCACCTGTCCAAATACAGGCCCTGCTGGCAAAAGTGTCATCAGTGGAAGAGCGGACACCAGGAACACCCTTTAGTGGGGATTTAAAATTACCGGACTCTCGTTGCATCTCAAGTCCCGTGTGGAACACTTTGCAGGCCTGTCTTACTAGCCGTCTCTCTGGAGACCAAGCTGATTGGGTGGGGTCCCCCTAAAGCCACCATCCCGTACTTCCATCTGTAGCAATTAAGAGAGAACACTCCGGTGGAATAAACATAGTTGTGGAACCTTCCTTAAGAAAAGGGACCAGGCCTCAGAAAGTGAAGTTTGTGTTCTTTTTTTGTTTGTTTGTTTTTTTATTAAGAAAAATTTTTTATTTATTTTACATACCAAAGACCCCGTCTTCCTTCCTCCCACCCCTTCAGCCTTCCCGTTTCAACACCCCCCCATTCCCTCCTACAAGAAGGTAAGGCCTCCCATGAGGAGGTACATTTAGTAGAGGCAGGTCCAAGCCCCTCCCCCTGCCTCCGAGCTGTTCAGACACTGAGAGCAACAATTAATAAATGAAACCTCCCGAAACTGAGAAGCTTCTGTAAGGCAAAGGACACAGTCAATAAGACAAAAGGACAGTGTGCAGAATGGTAAAAGATCTTCACCAACCCCACATCTGACAGAGGGCTGATCTCCAGAATATATAAAGAACTCAAGAAACCAGACATCAAAACAACAAACAATCCAATTAAAAAATGGACTACAGTGCTAAACAGAGAGTTCTCAACTGTTTGTGTTCTTAACCACAGTCATGCTTCTTTCCTTGGCTCTATTTTGGTACATCCCACTTCTCCCTGAGCAAAGACAGCAGCACTGACTCCACCCTCAAGCTCATACCTTGATGGACATTCATTAACTTCCTCCCACTTCTTACTGTTAACTCGGAGAAATGGAGCAGATATTTTTTAAACAATTTCTGTACATCAGGTATCCTGCTAAGCCTTTTGGAGACATCACTCTTTTCATTCTTTACAATAATTATATCAAGTGAACTATTCTAAATGCTTTTACCCCTACTTTATAAAGGAGGAAATTGAAATGCAAGATAAACAAGGAACTCCACCACACAGTCAGTGTGAAGTGAGAACAAGTCTGCTACTTGCTGAAGTCTTGAGCTGCTTTTGTAGTGCGCGCTGGAGCCTATCTTTCCCAGGGGATCTCCATGGGTACCCAGGGCATTCCACAGAACCCCAGATGCCCCAGATTCTTTCTCATAAGCTTCTCAGTGACTTCTTAAGGAATGATGCAGACATCTGCTCCAGTCCAGGCGCTGCCTTTATTTG